TCTCCATTTACATCTCAAGAGCAAACAAGATGCTGTTGGGAGAGTAACTTCTATCTTACAATAGAATAAAACAGAAATTACTTTGAATGAAAATGAATACAATAGACAAATTTACAAACAGTGGATATAAAAAGAAGTTTTTATTAAAGATTTTTTTTTACAATATCATGGAACTTAATTATTTGAGTAGGATTCGCTTTGGTGACAATATTAAAAATCAAACTAGTAACTTAGTATAATTTTCATTATTTTTTATAACTCTACACATCAGAAAAAAATCACAGAATTAATATGTATCTATTACTTTTAAAAACATATTTTAAATAGAAATTTTTCTTAACGTAATCTACAAAATATTTTTCAATTAAAAATACAGTAGAGCGTCGATTTTCCGAATCAATTGGGGACTATAACTGATTTACGTACGAAAAAATAGTTTAACGTATCCGATGTCGAAATTTTTCTCCGTTGCGTGTCGCTTCGCGTTGAATTTTCGTCGATGTTAAGCTTAATAAAGACTATTGTATCGTTAAAAATTTTTTTTATTTTGTACAAACTAAATTAATATATTGAAAAATATAACAATAATAAAAAATTATACTTCAGATGTTAATTTAGTATCAAAAACATAAAATATTTGAGTAGCCCAAGACATAGCCAAAGATTGAAGCGCCACAGCACTGGCGAAAATTTAAATTTGCCAACTGGAATTCTTTCGGATGATTGACTTTCGGAAAATCGACGCTCTACTGTATTCATTTTTGCAAGATCAAGAATAAAATTGAGATAAAATATTAATGAATATAAGATGTTTCATTTAAAAAATTCTTTACATATTTAAAAATTTAATGGCATTCTGTTATAATGGTGTACAAAAATATTTTCTTATAAACATCTTTTATAAAACCATGCAATTTGTAAATCAAAGTATCTAATTTTTATAATCGATATACTGTATGATATTAATAATTAGATTTAAAACAATGAAATAGAAGTAAATCCTCCAATAAATGTCGGATATTTAGTTTAAACTATTGCAATAGACGGCGGGTGTCGTTAAATTCCTAAGCGCAGCGTGTTCTGTGCGTGCTATGGTAATTTTCCTGTGAAAACCCATGAAAAATGTTTTTGCTATGACATATGGCACAACTGAAGAATCCGGAAAGCACAGAAAGATGCGCCCACCCACGTATTATTTACCAGATAATGCCTGAGTGGGCGCATCTTCCTGTATTTTCTATTTCGAATTCTTCACTTTACACAGATCAGTGAACTAGATGTCGAGTCGTGTAATTCAGCGTTGTCTTCAAACTGAACGCAGTTACGTAAGCAAAATAATACTCCGGAGAAGCAGCAGCGCGAAAGTTCAAAGTGCATCCAAAGGGAATTGGCGAGTGGAAGAGTAAACGTGACTCTCTTAAGACCATAAAGAATAAGAGCGAAGCAAAGAGGCTGACAGGAGGAGGGCATAAGACCAGAGAAGAAGAAAAGGTTTTACACTGGATCTGTGAGCAATGAGAGAAAAATAACCGTGTCTCCATGGATAAAGCAAGAAAAATTTTCACCCGAATGAAGATTTTTCTTGCTTTATCCATACTGGAAAAATTCATGAAAAGTAACTAAGTCGTAATAACTTTATGCTTACGGTAGTAATGTTGTTGTATAGTAGTGTACTTTTATTTTAAATAAAAAGGAAAAGTTCTTGTGAATTACCCGGAATTTGCATTATTTAGGCTAGAACGGGTGAGGGAAATATGATAGAAAAAAGGTTAAACCGTATTTCCCACTTTTTTATCACTAGTTTGGATGAAGAATTCTGCCAGAATGTATTTAGCTAGACGCTGGACTTCTTATATAGGCCGGATAGTTAAGCATATTCTGTCCAATAGATTCCTGGGCGTCTATTAGAGGATTTACAGTATTTTATTTTCAAGAAATAAAAAACATTACGATTTTTATAACGAAATAAGTATTTAATGGTTATTTAAAAATTATTATAAATTTATTTTTTGTTTTTAATTAATAAAACTTTTTAACTACTTTAAAAATATTTATTTATGTAATTTAAACTTTGAAATAAATTAAATACTGAAAGGAAAAGATATATACTGTATTTTAACCAAAGGATTACATTCATCGACAATATACGTGGCCTAACTAAGGGTGATCTGGGAGAATGTATCAATAAAAGGTACAATCAAAATGAAGAAAAATTAAAGCATTCTCCCCGTGAAATACCGTTTATTTATTTATTGTTTTAATAATTTTTTTTAGTTTAAATTTTATTCCTACAGCTTTCGGCGGATCCAACACCCACATCATCTCCCATATATCAATATACAATAATTAAATAAATATGAAATATATTGGAAAATATTTAACCAAGTTATTTGTTACTATTACTTTTTGCTGACAAAAGATATTTTACTAAAGTAAACAGAAAAAAAAAGTAAATTGTGGAATCTGAAAACATGAAATAGGAATGACTGGATGCAGCTGATGATGACGTTTTCAGACATGGAAAAGAAAAAAAAAGTGATGTAAAAGGAAATTTTTTTCTATCAAAACTAAGGTTCAGTTGTTGCTAAACAAAATTACAAGCAGGAATAATTTCGATAGATCGACAGATAAAACGGAAGCAAGTGGAAACTTACAAATTTGAATGAAATGTGTTTAAATTAACAATTATTTTAGTGATTTATTCACTTAGGTATTGCTGTTATTACATCCGATAATTGAAGTGGAATGACAAACACCTTAATTAGTATATTGTATGCTGACACGTTGGAACTATTTTAATTTACATATAATTATTATTGAACGAAAAATGTCGCATATCTGAATAATATCGTGAAATTTACATATTAAAAAAGCCTTAGAAGTATTGAAATACACCCATCCACTATTTAAAAGTATAAATTAAATTTATTTAATTTTCATTAAATCAGTAGAGTAAAACCCCGATTTAACGAATACCCCTCACCCAGAGTAGTGTTAAGTCGAGGTTTTATAATAGAATATTTTATTTTATATTAAAATCTTTTGTTAATAGAATGAAGCAGTTAACATTTTTTTATAGTAGCTTTAAAATTAAACATTTTAGATTTAAATAAATTAAAATGTTAAGAATTTTCAATTTATTTTTTTGTTTTACTGTCGTTAAGTGATACGATACGATTTATAAAAGATTAAATTTTATGACTTAGAAACGAGGAAACAATAGATGTAACGGGCTTCTATGGAAACGCAAGATAAAAAATAAAGTTATTATCGTTGAATAAGTTATACTCTCTTTAAGTTTGATCGAAGCATAATAATGATTTTCTATCGACAAACTATGCTTATATTTAAATTTTAATTCTTTAGTAAAGATAAGAGGAAAANAAGTTTTTTAATTAATTAATATCAGATATATTAATTGACTATACAATGATTTTCAGTATAGTGATTTATTACCGACTTCTTACAGTTGATTATACACTTTAATCAATGTAGATGCATCAAAAAGATAGATTATTCAGAAACACAAAGAAGCTATAGAGCAAGGATGGATTTAAGTATTGTATGTAACTCATACAAAACTAGGTGAGAGAATTCTTTAGATTATAAAAAAAATTAACACCTGAAGTTAAAAAAATGCTTAGGAGTTTTCATGTAATAAATAAATTTAAAAATTCTTAAAAAGGAGTCGAACAAAATATGCGTAGACTTTGTCATAAATGTTACCATGGTTAAAATTCTACATTTGAAAAGCTCTTAAATTTTGGTTTTACTTGTATATTCATTTTATTTTATTATTTATGTAATTTTGCAAGTCTTAGTCGAGAAAAACTTTTTATGATTATGAGAAAAATAGGTTTGCAATTTGCCACTTCTAAGATCAGATACTATTGATATAAAATTTCATTTTTAATAATCAAATTTTATATCAATAGAATGTATTTAATTTTATTACTTTTATGTAAAGTTGATATTTGTTTAATTCATGATACAGTACGAGTTAAAATTTATCTTTACTTTCCTTTATAACCTACTTTCTTAACAATATAATCTAATTCTTCTTTATATTCTTTATAACCTAAATTAATTTCTTTCAATATACATATTAATATAAACACACAGATAAAATTAGTAAATGCTCACTTAAAATAGATAATTTTCTTAGAATATTTTCATATTTTCAATTACTCTGTAAATTATAGACTTTTATCCTTTATCCATTACAAAGTGGCTTCAAAAAAATGTTAACACATGTATGGCAGGGATTGTAGAACCGTACTTTATTGGATTCACAATTGCGCATGATGGAGAAGTATGCAAATAACAATTATCCATATTAGTGATAACATATTTTTTGAAGAACTCTGTTCATGACTCATCTATTTCGAATAATTTTATAAAAGTATACATTCGAAATTTAATACACACAATATACAATTAAAGAACAATTTATTAATTAAAATATCAATCTAAATTTAAACTGACATTAGAATTGCGATTATTTTATTTAGATTCGACCGCATCTTTAAAATTATATTCTTGCTCAACTGTAAAAATTATTACAATAAAAATACTCATTTGACGGAGCATTTTTATTAATGAAAGAAAAAGATGAAAATTGCAAATATTTATTATTATTTTTTTAAGTGAAAAGGAATTTACATAACAAACAAACGCTTAGTCATCCTTTATAGCCAAGCGTTCAATAGAATGACGTCCTATTCACAAAGTAATCTCTGTTTAATACTCTTCACTCGACTGAGATTTCTATCATCGTAACCACTAATGCACATATTATTACCGATGAAATATAGGTTGAAAGAATAATATTTCTTTACATTTTGCGCCCGTTTTAATTTTGTACTTCTACTTTATAAATCTCTGTTGTAATAATATTTTTACTCGATTTCGTATTTAATATATCTGTTTCCTTTTGTAAAATTCCACTATGATATGATAATAACTTGATATATATATGTATATATTTCATTTAATTACAGTTATGTTGGCGTATTCCCTACATTCGTTGACGCTGTTGCTCATCTGTTTAATGACGTCTACGCTGATCCTCAATTCCGAAAGGACTGTAAATGGAATGCATCGAGTATCGTATTCAAAAATTGGAAATGCAGAAAACCCTTCGTTGAATTTATATAGGAGATGGAACTTCATCCACCAAGATATCAAAACTAAAAGAGCATTGTCGTTTCTGGCATATTGGAAATCTCCCTCCGAAAATACTTTTGTACAACCAGTTGCAAGTGATGTTAACTCAAGACCGGTTGGCTTACCTTTTCGATGGGGATAAATACTTCTATTTTTTCATGGCTGAACTTTTAGTTGACTGACGGATGTGATTTTATCCCTACATTTCTTACATACGGTAGTTAATTCGAACATTTAATTATATGTATAGTTTTTATTTATATGAGAAAACGATGAACAAATTATATGAACAGATCATTATATAGGCTATATATTGATATATATATATAACTTATATACATACAACGATAGTTAAAACTCTTTCAAAATATTTATTCTGTAAATAGATTAAATAAAATAGATATACAAATAAAATTCTGTTTAATTTACATAAATATTTACGAATAAAATTAATAATTTTAACAATATTTGCGTTTAATCGAATTAAACCAAAAGAACTGTATTAAACTGTTGAAAATGTGATGGAAAAATGTGAAATTAAATTAAATGTATCGTTCAAAATAATTTAAATGAAAATTAAAGATATTCATTTCTGATAAGCATCCCGGATGTGTCACTGAAGTCATTTTTTTTTTCATTTATTAAAATTTTGGCCATCTCTACATATGATAAAATGTAAATTAATAACATTTAATGTTCATTAAATAAAGCAGAAATATTATTAATGATTAATAAACGTAAATAAAGTAAAGATACGTTCATCGTAATTAACGATTAAATCTTCCTTTGAAAATTAATGAAGTATTTTATATTAAATTATGCAATTAAATCCTGTTATTGTGATATAAAGTAGGATTAAAGTTGCATAAAGGGATTCGGATAGAAGTGCAATCTGTTTATTTTTTATCAACTTTCTTAAGTTCATTAAAAGAAGAAAGAACCAAAAACAATTAATATTTATTTCAGTGCATTGGAAATATCTAATAAAATTTTTAAATTATTAATTAATTCAATAACTTTGCGATAATACTCAGAATTTTTTCTTTTTTTTTTTTTTTTTTAATTCTGGCGAGAGTCAATAATTGGATAGGACAGACAATAATTGGATGAATGAAGAAGATGCATATGAGGTAATTATTTAGCTTTTTTTAAGTGAAATAGTTCAAGAATTGTTCCAAAAAATGATTGATCGAATTACTTAAAAGAGGTGAAAGATTATCTTTTTTCTCGTCTTTTCTTTTCACAAAAAGTTTGTTGAAAAATGATGTATTTTGTTATCGCGATCCTCTGTGTTTTCAATAAGATGAGATATCCAAAGCATCAATATCTCGGTATAAACATTCCGTTTAGTCATCGGTTTATCGTTTTAATTTATTTGAAAACATTATTAAAATAAATAATAAATAAATAAAGAAATATTCTTTATATATAAATTCATTTTTTAGAATCGCCTTGCGTAATTCACGTAGATTTAAATATTTAATTGCTCTAAATTCTTAGTCACTTGACGATGCATTAAAATTTAAATAACCAATTTATTTAAAAAAAGATGATAATTTCTAATATGTTTTAGTAAAAAATATTATTATTATTATATATGGAAAAAGATATGCATTGAAATGAATATTTTATCACTCTATAATAATATCTAAACTAATGGGTCACAATTCCCAGGAGGAATCAGATACTTTATTCCCGAGTAAAAAAGGATCATCAATTGGAAACTTGTCCTCAATTTTTTTTATATAATACTTTTTAATTGTGGTAATTTTTATGTAAAATATAAAACTTAATTCCTAGTTTAACGACTAAAATTAAACAAAAGAATATAAACTTACATTAGTTACAGATAAATTAAGATATAAAGAAAACATTTTATACTTAATATGTTTGTGAAATAAATAAAATTTGTTATCTAATCTTTATACATTTTTTATATATTATTTCTTTATAAAATCCTACAGAAAGATCTCATAATATTATTATTATAGGTATAATAATATTCAATCCATGAAGAATTGTGTATAATACAAAATCATTGGAGGGGAATGTATCTTTTAGATCTATGCATTCTATTTAGAGAGAATGTTATATACGATTCGTAAGTTTCAATATATAAATTCAAAAAAAAAAATATAGTTTTCAAAGATCAAATAAAGATTAATAAAATTTCCATTTAATCATAAATTAATTAATTTGATTCTAAAAAGTAATAAGTGATGTTAGATTTAATTTGTACAAAATTTATAAAGGTCAGTTATACATTCCACATTTTTTATTTGCTAAAACATAAAAATAATGAATATATTAGCAAAAATTGATATTTAATAAGAGTTCTATTATTCAATTTTTACATTGGATTATTATTACACCATCGTATATTAAAATTAAAAAAGCAGAAAAATATTTAAATTATTACTATTATGTTCTTGGTTAGATTTTGAAGATTTTCTCCTTCATTTGTTTTTGATTTACCACTTTGTCATTAACACAAACAGATTTTAAACAGGAATGAACTTCGTATTTCGAATGGAATCATAATTATAGCTGTAGAAAAAATAACCTATGCTATAGAAAATCAGGAGACTCATACAGAGTTAAAGACAATAGAGCCATCTTTTCCCTAACGAGCATAAGTCAGATCGTGTCTGCAACAAAAATAACCCAATAAAAAATATCACGAAAGAAAAAATATGTTTAGCTATTCTAAACCTTCTTTTTATTTGAAAGTTAAAACAACTTACTTAGATATTTTCAATCCTTTTGAAAGAAGTTCAGACAAAATGGCGACGTTTTAATCCTCTTCTAAAACTTTGTTAAGTGTAAAATTAAATTAAAACCTTAAGAAAAAATATAATATAAATTTTTATTGATAAATATTTGTAATCATTTATGTAATCGAACGACAAATTTATTTTATATTATTATTAAATGATTTTACATAATTATTTTTTTATAAATTAGTCTATTCTGTGGGAGATTTATTTGAATTGAAATAAATTTGAAATAAAAATGATTATTTTTTAAAATTTATTAATATTACATATTATTATTTAAACTGAAAATCGTTATATTTCAAAACTACATCGTAATCTTAAAATTAAATCATACGAAATTAATACAGTAGAGCCTCGAAAACTCGGCCTAATGTGGACCGAAGGGTGGCCGAGTTTGAAAATGCCGGGTTATCGGGAATGGGGTTAAAAAAGGATAAGTATGCGTGTTTCCTCAGAAAATATTGTATTGTACTTGCATGTATTGTTTGCTTGAGAATACAACAGAGAATAAACTGCCCAAATACCCTTAAACAAAGGAAAAGTACGTCCTTTATGAAGGCATAGAGCCTTTACTACATGAAAATGAAAATTAATGAATACACTGTGTACAGTAATTTACCTGATAAGACAGACCTCAGAAAAATACTTTATGAGAGCTTTTATACTTTTATAAAGCTGTCTATAATGAAAATTAATTAACTAAGGATTTTCGTGCCCTGCCAAGATATGGCCGAGTTATCCGGAGTGCCGGGTTATCGAGTGCCGAGTTTTCGAGGCTCTACTGTATTATGAGAAACTAAAAATTATTATAATTAATTAGAAATCTGTTATATTATACATTATTAGTATTAGCCTACTTTTAATCAAGTCCAAAAAGGCCAATACTGAACATTGATATTTAGTAGGTGGTTGACGCCTGATAAACGTGAAGTTTTTCGGACTTTCTTCACGTGTTTTCCATCTAACTTAAATAAGAGCCAGTTTTCTATATAAAGTCATCCCAGGAAGCGATACTCCCACGTGTCGCATTGTCTTATCCCATCAACTCAATCGACTTTTAAAATCATTTACCGAAATTAAGAAATCCAGACAGAAATTTTAAAGAAATTTTGAACAAAACCTCGACGGACTATTTTGTTTTGTTTATGCAGATTTTATTATTCCATTAAGAAAACTCGCGAGAATGCATTTAATAAATTTAATAACTTAAAATTTATACATCATATAAAATAATATACAGTAATAAACTCAATAGATAATATCCAAAATTTAATTTTCCATCATTCAGTTTCTCATTTCTTATTCAAACATCGTGTCGATCAGATAATCCTATTTAACTCGTTATTGCGCGATGATGGAAAAGATTTAAGAAAAAATCTGTTTTCATTAACAAAAGCTAAAAATAAAAGCGAAATTGAGAGAATTTATGCTACTTAAATAATGAAAATTTTCTGTATTTAATTAATTTATTATTAATTCATCTGTTTTACGCGCGTTTTTACTACATTAAAAGCTTTAAATTTCATTACTCCACGGATTTCAAAGTGTCTGAAACCATGTGATTTAAATTTACAAAATCAGTTTTAGTGACGTGTAAATGTGAAAAAATTTACTAAGACAGTAAATAATTTATTCTGTTAACAATTAAAACGTGTTAAAACGATATTTCAATTAGAGTATGGGGAAGGCAATAAGACTTGGAAGTTCTCTCCATCAAAAATAAATCAAAACAAGAAAATGTTGTTAGTTTTTAGAATAAAAACAAATATTTCCTGTTGTGATATTATTGTAAATTCGGTTTATATATTGTATGAACGAAAAAGATATAAAACTTTTGGCTTGTTTTCACCAGAAAATAACGCGCGATGGATTATTATTGCTGGATTTCATAATGCTTGAAGTATAGGGTATTGAACATTTATTTTGGTATAGGAAATTTAGAAGAAAGGAAAACTTTCTACTTTTATTTCTATTTTGATCAATCGCATTTATTTTATATAACTTTACATAATCTATATCCTACTTAGGATTCAACTTTTTAGAATGGAATCATTCGAAAGTTAAAATTAATATAAATTATATTATAGTAATTGAAGTAATTTTCTATAAGTTTATTTTCGTTAGTTTGCATTTATTATTTGTTTATTACGTTTTTATGTTAATGACATTTATTTTTTATTAAGAGTTAACCGTTTTGGAATGATTATTCTTAATCTTAATTGGGCTGCAATTTTTAAAAATTGTAGACCTATAAATTCTTACTGTCGTTCGTCTACCTGTCTATTTTTCCTTAATCTCAAGAATAGAGTTAGATAAATGAAAGAAGAGAACAAATATGGAAACCTTAGGGGCAGGAGGTCCGATTAAGTATATAAGAATTTCCAATACGAACTGGAAATCACGTTATTTCAAATCAAAACTTCCTCTGAAAGGTGTTAGATAGATGACCCGGCATGACTCTATTGATAAAGCAAAAGTATAATGTACAGGGGCAAGCCACTACTAATTTGAGGTGGAGAGCATATATTTTAAATAAAATAAATTAAAAATATGATTAAAAATTGCATCCTGGAATTGTAACGATTTCTAACAATTATATATTTAAACTTTGAAACAGTATTAATTAAAGAAAATACTTATGTTATTATATTTTATAGTAAAAATTATTTGTTTTTAAATATCTTTTGTCGTTTTTTTTATGTGCATCGCTAGATTAATGTCTTTAAAGCATTCAAAATTTTCATAATTCTCAAATTTCATTTAAAAATAAATCCTTTTGTTTACGAAGTGTATTTTAAAAATACCTGACTTTGCTATTTAAACTTTATTCAGCAAAAATCATGTGTCAATATTTTACAACTTTATTTAAAATTCATTTGAAATATTTAACAATCATCATCCAAAAATTCATTCAATTAAAAAAAGAGTTTAGTATAGGCCTATAAATATGGCATATGTATATATATATCTGTA